AGGTTAAATCCCCTTAATTCTACTGATCTGCTCCTGATAGTATTAGCCAAAAAGTTTCTTGACACGTTTTTCTTACTGTCCTTCATCCCCCCTGCCCCACACCTACCACCACAGACTGCCACACTGCTGGCTGTCAGTTTTCTGTGATAATAGCCGGGCATGGTGGCACACGCCTATAGTCCCAGCACTTGGGAGGCAGGGACAGGCAGATCTCTGTGAGTTCAAGGCCAGTCTGGTCTATATAGTGAGTTCCAGGACAGCCAGGGCTGTCTCATAAAAAAAAAAAAAAAAAATTGTAATGAATTTTCATTGTTGTCATTTAATCCTAGCCCAGAGGCTGCCTGCTGAGAGAGACAGCCATCACCTCTCTGAGCCTGTTTCCCCTTCCCAGAGTCTGTTTCCCCATCTACAGAACACATATTAAGAATGTACATAATATAAGGTCCAGTGAGACGACTTGGTGGCTAAAGGCACTTGCTGCCAATCCTGATGGTCTGAGTTCAATGCCTGGGACCCACATGGTGGAAGAAAAGAACTGACTCCCTCAAGTTTTCCTCTGAGATTAAGGCCAACCTGGTCTACATAGTGAGTTCCAGGCCAATTGGGGCTACAAGGAGACCCTTTCTCAAAAAACAAAAGAGAATACATCTGTCGTATTTCTCTTCTCTTCCTACTTGCCAGAGTCTCCAGGCCACTCACGTAAGGACACACTACACTATGCTGAGATCAACAGTGTTTGATCTTCATTCTACTTCCTTCAGGAATAACCAGTGGTCTTGGTTTGGTTTCCATTGCTGGGATGAAACACTGGCCAAAACCAAACCAAGTTGGGGAGGAAAGGATTTATTTCATCTTACTCTTACAATTGACAGTCCATCACTGAGGGAATCTGAGGCAGGAACTGAAGCACAGACCATGGAAGAACGTTGCTTTACTGGTCTGTGCTCAGTCTGCTTTCTCATATAATCCAGGTCCACATACCCAGAGGTGGCACCACCCACAGTGGGCTGGGCCCTTCACAGCACTCAACAATCAAGAAAATGCCTCCCAGACGTGCCCACAGGCCAAGGGGACAGAGGAAATCCCTCAATTGAGGTTCTCTCATCCCAGGTGTGTCAAATTGACAACTAAAGCTATCCAGCACACTAGTGTACCTGTGGTGGCTTTGTCTACAGGAGGGTGGAGACCCAGCAGCCCTCTGCCCTGGCCCCTTTAGGCTGATGCTAGGTTGACATCATACTCAGAACCTCTGGACTTCCAGTGCCTAGACTGGAGAAATGATGTGTGGCCAGAGTGTCTGCAGAGACTATGCAAGTCTGCCTGCCTGCACTCCGGGGCAGTATTCTCACATTCCCAAGTGACACACCCTTCTCCAGACAACCCAGTCCACATACCAGCCATGCTTGCTCCAATATCCAAGAGCTTTTACGGGATTAAACCAGAAATGTCACCTTGGAAAATCACTACCTTCCTCAAGCTATATGCGACTAGTCTGTAATTCAAATAATTATGGCTTTCCAGACCAGCACACCCATCTTTTTATTTCATTTTGGGGTAGGTTTACATGACTTAAAATCCAGAAAGTATAAAAGAGCCTATATTGCTGGACTTGAACCCTATCTGCTCAGTTTTAATAAGGACTAATAGGATCCTTAGCCTCTGCCATTAGCCTCTTGCTAGGCACTCTTGTTTCTTCACCTATTCATAAGTACAATTTAAGACTTCATTTTGGTGTAAAAAGATTCTACATAGCATGGAGACCTTAGAGTTTATCTTCATCTGGTGCCTTTCTACATCCTTGTTTACTTTCTGCATCCGCCCAGAGTTTCATTGCATGAATACATCTAGTGGAGCTGCCTGTCCCCTATCAATGCATACTCAGCTTGTCTGAAATCTCTTATGGCTACAAATAACACTATAATCAATAACTGCATGGCTTAATTTGCACAGGTGGGAGTATCTATAGAAGTAGAACTTCTAGATCAGAGAATCCAGGCTTTGTCACTGTGATGGATACATTGGATGGCCCCAAGGAAGTTGTACCATTCATTCCACACTCCCTGGTCATGGATTGCCCATGTAGCATGTGCCACAAAGCTTCTAATTTTTGCTCAACTGGTAAGAGAAAAATGGTACACTCGGGGCTGGACAGATGACTCAGTGGTTAAGAGCACTGGCTGCTCTTGCAGAGGACCTGGGTTCTGTTCCCAGCACCTACATGGCCACTAACAACCATCCTTATCTCCAGTTCCAGGGGATCTAATGCTATCTTCTGATTTCTGTGGGCACTGCATGACATGGGTGTATTTACACACATGCAGGCAATACACTCATATGCATAAAATAAAAAAATTTTTTTATGGTACAGTGTTAGAGATTTGCTGGTTCATTGAGGGAGGCTAGGTCATCTCTTCACGTAGCTGAGGGTCACTTGTTTCTCTTTCTGGAGACTTAATTACTTATTTTTCTGCTGGGATGTTTAAAAAAATGCACCTTGTAGAAATAAGAGCCACAGCTGCCCCCTCTATTTACAACACTGAAGCCAAGAAGGACAAGAAACGCACACACTAGATTCACACAGGCAAGAAAAGAGCTTTCCAAGTGAACAGAGGGCAGGAGCTATGCCTCCTATGAAAATTCCAGGCTATTCAGGAGGCACTCAATCCCTTTCCCATGGAGCCTGGGGTGGAAGTTTCTCAGTTTTTAAGTGCTAACAGGAAAGCTCTCCAACCCCTTAAATCCACCTTAGCAACAGACCACCCATAAAGCCTTATTTAAAGCTACTTTAAACTCACTCTCTCTAGTGGGAAATGAGATCACAAAGGCTGTCTTCAGACCCAAACCTAGAAGAACACAGAACTCAGGTCTTCTCCAGTACTGTGATTGGTCAGAGGATTATCATGTGATTTAAGCCATCCCATGTGACGTTCTCCTAAGAATTCTGACAGATCCACAAGGTAAGTACACTTCTCTCACCTCTACCGGACACTAACTGGAAGGACAGCACAGAACTTTGCTCCCTGAAGAACTCTACCTTGAAAGGAAGTCAGCCAACCAAAGCAAGCAAAACTGAGGACCAACAGGGAGGCCTAACTACCTTGGCTGAGCTCTGGGACCCCCCCACCATGAATCCCACTGTCTTAGTCACTTTCTATTGCTGTGATAAAAACACTGACCAAAACCAACTTGGGCAGGAAAGGGTTTATTTGGCTTACAGCACAGTCCATCATCAAGGGAAGCCAAATCAGGAACTCAGGGCAGAAACCTGGAGCACAGACCATGGAGGAACGCTGCTTACTGTTTGCTCCCCTGGCCCATGCTCAGCCTGCTTTCTTATACAACACAGGACCACCTGCTCAGGGATGGCACTGTGCACATCACTCAACAATCAAGAAAATGCCCCGCAGATGAGTCCACAAGGCTAATCCAACAGGAGCAATTCCCAGTTGAGGGTACCACTTCCCAGGTGTGTCAAGTTGACAACTAAAGTTATCCAGCCCAATTGACCCCTTGTCAACTTGACACACAAACTCATTGCTACTAAACCACTGACCTTTCCATTTCTTACCCCCCAAGATCTTATCAATATTAATATTACAGCATAAAACAGTAGAACTTTAAAAGCCCCAGTCCTTAAAAATTCAAACATTTTTAAAAGTTCAAAGTCTCTTTAAGAAGTCTCTTAACTGGAGGCTCTTATAAAATCTAAAACAAGTTAAATACTGTCCTATTTCAAACTTAAGCAAAACCAAAGTCCAGCAAAGTAGTTCAAGGCTGGACATCTGGGATTCACTCACGGTCTTCCGGGCTTCAAAGGGTTTAGGCAGCTCCATTTCTCTGGCTCTGCCGTCCACAGCACGCACAGCCTGCCTTGTAGGCTCAGGCCGACTCCATTCCATATCTACTGCTGGCCTTGGTGGTCATCCCACGGTCCTGGCATCTCTAATATGCTCGGGTTTCCACTGCAACTGAGGCTGTACCTTCACCAAGGGCCTCTTTTGGCTTTACATGATGCCAAGCCTTAGATCTTCCCCAACCTTTATGCCTTTAAGACCAGTACATATATGAAACTTACACATTACCAAGTCCTGCTTCCAGCTTGAGCTAGAGCCTTGGGTGCCCTCTGGCCCATAGCGTGTGTGCTGACCCTAAGGAAATACTTCCCAGATTTCACCTCAATGATGCTGCTCTCTTGGTACTCACAGTTGATTTTTCAGCCCCAGTTAACCAGCATCAACGGTTCCAGTGAAGTACAAAGTTTCACTTCCAAAAATTCTTAATTCCACACAAACAGCCCTAAAAGAGTCTTTGCTTCCCTTTGAACCTTCATAAGCCAGGCCTCCATTGTCTACACCTCTTTCAGAATAACTATTCCAAGCTCCATAGCAACAGCTCACTAAGCTCTGAGCACTCAATGGCTTTTCCAGTCCAAAGTTCCAAACGCTTCCACAATCTTCCCAAAAACAACATGGTCAGGTCTGTCTCACAGCAATACCTCACATTCCTGTTACCAACTTTTGTTCTGTTTAACCAGTTTCTGTCCTAGTTACTTTCTATTGATGTGATATAAACACTGACTAAAATCAACTTGGGGAGGAAAGGGTTTATTTGGCTTGCAGCTCACAGTCCATCATCAAGGGAAGCCAAGGTAGGAACTCAGGGCAGGAACCTGGAGTACTGACCATGGAGGAACACTGCTGTTTGTTCCTCTGGTCTGTGCTTAGCCTGATTTCTTGAACAACATAGGACCACCTGCCCAAGAGTGGCACTGCCCACATTACTTAACAATCAAGAAAATGCCCCACAGATGTGCCCACAAGGCCAATTTAATAGAAGCAATTCCTCCGTGGAGGTTCTCTCTCCCCGGGTGTGTAAGCTGACAACTAAAGCCATCCAGCAGACCCACCAGAGCCTACCCAGTCCCACAGCAATTTATCCCCTCTTCTGCTTAAGACTGTGCTTGTCACATGCAGTCAAAGGCACCCAAGACTTGCACTTACCCTCTCAGGGTTGATGTCCAGAGCGTCACAAACAGTGATGGCAAAGTGTTTAGACCTCTCAAATCCTCCTTTCCCAATGCTGTGAGAGCCATCTAACAGAAACAGGATGTCCACTGCTGCCGAGCACCACATCACTGGAGACAAGAGGGCTGGATGAAGGTGGTTGTACTAAATGGTTCCATGCTACAAAGATTTCCACGTAATGGTCTGCTTATGAGCCACACCGAGTGAGCCCTGAGAAGAGGGACTCCTGAGCTAGCCATGGTCCCTGCCCTTGAGAGTCATGATCTAATCCAGGACACAGTCAGACACCCTGACATGTGAAGCTGTGTGATCCAAGAGTTCAAGCAGCAGCGGTGACCACCAGCAGTGGTCACACCATTCCTCTACCTCAGGATGGTTAGAGATATATCTGACCCTTGTTTGTTTATCCTCACAGCTGCCTTGAGTCGGATGACTATTTTCTTATACCTTAGAAAATCTTGATATTTCATTACTATACCATATGATTCACCATTTGTGGTGTATAATTTTTAAAATATAGGTACTGATGAATTCTACCATCACCACACTTGATGCTAGAATGTTCTCTATCACCTCAAGAAATTCAGTACTTTTAGCTATCACCTAGCCCCTCACCTCCAATTCCAAGATTTGTATGGGATGGGGCTACAGCTACCTGTACATGCACCTGTGGTCCAGAGAGCAACATCAAGTGTCTTCCTCTGTTGCTCTCCACCTTAACTTTTTGAGACAGGGTGTTTCACTGAATTGGGATCACTGATTGGCTAGACTAGCTGACCAGAGCCCCAGGAAACTGTCTCTACCACCCAGCGCTGGGATTACAGGCGCACACCACCACACTCATTTTTTTACATGGATTCTGGGGATCCCAACACAGATCCTCATGCTTGCACAACAAGTGTTTTACCCATTGAGCCATCTCCTCAGCCTGAGATTTGTATTTGTATTCCCACTTGGAGAGATGAGGCAAGGAGAGCACAGGGTGACTCAGTGGCTTCTTAGCGCCAAAGTACCAGAAAGCAGTGGGGTTGGAACAAAGGCTAGGCTGTGTGGCTGTGTGGCTGTGTGGCTCCCCACACCCAGGAGGTGAAAAGGAGGATGGAGGAGATGGCAGGGTTGGAGCTGTGAGTGGATGTGGGGTTTCATCAGAGAAGAGAAGAAGGGCCAGGCAGGGCTTCTGAGAAGATGTTAGTGCAGCTTGAGCAGGGAAAAGAATCAACTCCAGTGAAAGAGCCTGGAATATGGCAGGAGATAAGGGTGGCTGGGTAGATGGTGGTCAGGTGACAGTGGCTTTGAGGTTCAGGCTAAGAAATTCAACAAAAAAGCAGGCTGACAAGATGGGTCAGTTGGGAAAGGTCTTGCCGTCAGGCCTGACAACCTGAGTTTGATCCCTGGGACCCACATGGTAGGACAGAACCTACTCCTGCAAGGGTCCTCTGACCTCCACATTTGTGCCATGGTACAGGCACCCCCCCACACACACACACCCAACATAAAGGCAATAAAAATTTAATTTAGAAATTCATTCCTGCAAGGGTCCTCTGACCTCCACATTTGTGCCATGGTACAGGCACCCCCACACACACACTCCCAACATAAAGGCAATAAAAATTTAATTTAGAAATTCAGTAACAAAAATTTACTAAAGTTCTTTTGTTGTTGTTACTTTTAATTGCTACTGTTTTAAACAAGGAGAGTCACTTGGTCAGAGCTGTTTGGGAAAAACGACTCTGGAAAGATGTCTGGGAGTGCAGTGGAAACCGGCAGGAGGAACGTGGTTTCTCTTGGGTCGGTCTCAGAGGTCTGAATAGGCAGGTATCTGGAGGCGCAGGTCAATCAGACTTACATTTGCTGGCCACTGCTATCTTCCCAATGGTTTCCCTGCTCACATGGACTTCCTGAAGAGAGAGGGATGGAGACACTAGGAGAGAAAACACCAGAAGTCATGACATGGTGGGATGGGAAGAGTCTTCATTTCCACATTATGTGACCTGAAGGCACAGGAAACAAGGCAGAAAACAGAATGTGGAGAAGTCCAATATTCAGTTACCAAAAACCATCACAGGGAGGGTTGGGGTGTGGCTCACAGGCCTGGAGGTGTGGCTTGAAGCACTGGGATGTGTGGCTCTCAGGGCTGGAGGTGTAGTTCAAAGGCTTCGCTGGGATGTGACTCACAGGGCTGAGGATGTGGTTTGCAGGGCTGGAGGTGTGTGGCTTGTATAGCTGGGGGAGTGGCTCAAAGGCCTGGGGATGCGGCTCACAGGGCTGGGGTGTGGCCTTAAGAGCTGTGGTGTGTGGCTTGCTGGGAAGAAGGCTCAAAGGACTAGGGGGTATGGTCCACAGGACCTGGGTTGTGGCTGGGGCTGGGATGTAGTTTGAAGAGATGAGGTGTGTGGCTTGCAGGAAAGGGGTGTGGCTCACAGGGCTGGAGGTGTGGTTTACAGGACTGGAGGTACTGCTTGAAGAACAGGGGTATGTGGCTTGCAGGGCAGTGTGGCTTACAGGGCTGCGGGGTGTGGCTTACCAGGCTAGGGGGATGGCTCAGTATTAGCACACATGCTCAGCTTGTGTGTTCTCCTGGTTTAGTGCTCAGTTACCCCCATCCCCAACCCACTCCAATTGTCACACGGATGGCATTTAAAAATTAATGCATCTTTCAATTCTCATCAATGAAGCTCTCTCATGCAACAGAGGGCCAGGAACACAAAAGTCCACAAATGGCCAAAACTCAGAGAATAAGAGTCTACAGAGTGTGGGTCCTTGGACAGGACTCCTATATTGAGGTCCACCCACCCAGAGCTCAGGGACCATAGCAGAAGAGAGGGTGGAAGGATTTAAGAGCCAGGGAGGAGGTGCATGACCATACAGAAATAGTCCTACAGGCGCCTGGGACCCTTCTCATACAAACCTACAGCAATGGTGTCAGCATGCATAAGACCCATGCAAACTTAGGCAGACAAAAGCCCAAGACAGAATGGTGGAAATGAACAGCAGGCCCCAATCTTAGTGGAAGAATTATTGGAAGCTGATTACTGCTGGGTGAGGAAGAGCAGATTTCTTGAAGGGGGAGACTCTAGATAAGCTGACTAAACCCTGGTGGATGAACTTGCACTGAGGGATACCTCAGGACACTAACTTTGCATAATAGGCCTTACAAATGACAGAATGTATGAACTCCCATGGGGGGGGGGTATGGGAGGGTGCCAAAGGGGAAGGAGGGTATAAAGATGATTTTATGTATGAAATACACAAAAATTCAATAAATTCAATAAAAAAATTTTTTTTAAATCCCCACTTCTATGAAGTGAATCTCAGAGACATTATTTTTTTTAAATACATAGACAGCTATGGAGAGATTGTGATCCTGAAGACTTCTGCCCTTGGTTAGGGACTGTAACTGCGTCCTCTCTGAGTGTAGTTCTTTGCTCTGTATCCAGGCATGTACTTTCAAGGTTCCCCCCAACCTGCTGCCAAGTAAAACATCTCGCTGCCATAAACACTAACATTCATAGAAGAGACAGATTCACAGAGAAGCACCAGGGCAAGTGTTCAAACAAATGCCAGAATGCTTAAATGTGAAAACTGAAATGATCAAATTTTAAATTTAAATATAACTGGGGAGAAATTAAATTAGGAATTTTCTCCCCAGTGGTGGCACTGTAAATTGACAAAAGCTGTCTAGAAAACATTTTGTCTAAGTGTATTAAGAATGGGGCAGGTGGGGGAGTACTTACCTGGGGGAGGGGGAAGCAACATAATATAAAGAGAGAGGGGAGGAAGGAGGGCTAAATAACGCTAAGGATGTTTGAAAAAGACATGGGGAAACATTATATGTTTACTTAAAAAGACACAATATGTGTGCGTATACACACACAAACACACACACAAATGGGGGTGATAATGCTTTGGGAGCCATGAACTAACAAAATCCCCAGCACCAAGCAAGGGACACCTCTCTTTAAGTGGGTTGGGGGGTCCAAGAGAACCCCCAAAACAAGTTTGCCTTTAGTTGCCTACCAGAACTTGAAGGTACAACAATTGCTGGAAACACCACACACTTTGGACGCAGGACTTGGAGAAATCAAGCTGGTACTGACCTGAAGTCTCCCTAAGCTCTCATGCTATTGGAAGGTACTTTGCAAAATACCCAGCTGTAAAGCCTATGAATCGTAACGACTGGCCTGACAAGATATCCCCCATGGTGCAACAGTGGCACTAATGCCTTGGGGATAACCAACAGCTGTCTCACTGGATTTAAGGCCTACTCAATAGGAGGGTACTCATGCCTAGACTGTAAACCTAGACATGGCTGGAGAGGTCACAGATCCTAGAGGAGAACCTGCTACTGCCATTTTCCTAAAAATATAGCTTCCTACTGCATTTTAAATATGTATCTTTATAGTCACAGATAAGTGTAGCTCCCACCCCTCATCAAAGAATATTCTTTTTGCAATGGACAGAGGCTTCTACAAAGATCCATAATTGGTCAAAACACAGAGACTAAATGACCGTGGGGTGCCTAGCCCCAGTTGGTATATCTACAACACAACCCCTACACCTAAGGTTCAGGGAACATCACAGAAGAGGGGCTGGAAAGATTGCAGGAGTCAGAGGGCCAGGACACTTGCTTCAAGACAGTGTCTTCTAGACATGGGAGGAATGCTACATCCATATAATCTCAACAGTATGTATGGTTACCTGCTCAAGACTTGCATAATGACTACACCACTTGACATGCCATCATGGATGGAGGAAATTTCATGAAGCCCCACCCCTACATGAAGAGCCACAGGCAATCAATGGCTGTTGAGAGAGGGAGAATCAGTTTTCTCCAGGGTCAAACCCCCAATAGGTTATCCAATCCTAAGTGATCACACCTAACTACTAATTGGTCTAGGATCTCTCTCTCTCTCTCTCTCTCTCTCTATCTATCTATCTATCTAAAGTGTAAGTGTGTGTGTGTGTGTGTGCGTGTGTGTGTGCGTGTGTGTGTGTATCAGATATATATGTATCAGACAGACCCAACAGACCAATCAGGAGGTGACTGTAGGAGTCCAAGCAGAAGATGGTGGGGCTTAAACTAGGAAGGCTGACATGGAGCAGAGATATAGATGGGCTTGAGAGACTTTTAAAAGTTAAAATCAGGGCTGGAGAGATGGCTTGGACCTGAGTTCAGATCCCCAGCACCCACATAAAAGCTGGGCATGGCAATGTTGTGAGGGAAGGAGACAGGTGGATGGATCCTGGGGGCTCGCTGGCCAGCGAGTCTAGCTGAAATCAGGCAGAGAGCAAATTTGGAAGACACCTGACATTAACCTCTGACTTCTGCATGCACTCACACTCTGCATGCACAGCACCTCTCCTTCCCACACAGACACATGCAGACACACACACACACACACACACACTTTTTAAAAAAACTAAAATCAATGGAATTTGAAAGAAACCAAACCTTTTAGTATTTATCCTCTACCAAAAATCATCTTACCTCTGGAACACAGGAAAATGCAGATGGCTTCCAGAAACAGGAAAGAAGGCATACTGTTATACCTACAGGGCCAGGAAAAGAAAGTAGGCATCAGCAGGGAGTTCTGAGACCGGGTTGGGATGCACTGCCTGAGGGCACCCAATTTTTCCCGGGCCACAAAGAGAACCCAGGAGCCCCCCCTTTGACATAATTACAGTGGCCTGGAAGAGATGCAGATTCCTGCAAAGCAACAGGAAAGAAGGCATACTGTTATACCTACAGGGCCAGGAAAAGAAAGTAGGCATCAGCAGGGAGTTCTGAGACCGGGTTGGGAGCCCCCCCTTTGACATAATTACAGTGGCCTGGAAGAGATGAAGATTCCTGCAAAGCCATGAAGATTTTATCCCAAACACGCTAACCTTAAGCAACCATCTAACATCTTTCCAAAACACAACTCCTGCTCTGAATCCATTACAGTTCCTTCCTAGCCTCCGGGATAGATGCTCTGCCCAAAGTTAAGAGTCCCCAGTCTCAATACTGCAGGGCCTCAACAGGCCATGTGACCTCTTCTCTTCCATTTTTTCATGAGTCCAGAGGCCAACAAGGTGAAAACCGGGATTTAGTGTCTTCATTTTCCAAGTCCTCTAGCAGGTCATGAAACCTTTCTCTAGCTAAAAAGATGGGCCAAAGAATAGCTGCACTTCCTAAATTATTTACAAACTATGAGCTGGCTAACTTTTCCTTATCACTTAATAATGCATCCAAGCATCGGTACAATTCAGTTCCATGGGTTTGATTACTGATTGGTTTTGAGGGAGGTATTAAGGGCAAAAAACACACAATTCTGGTGTCTGTCTCTCAATCCATGTGCTCCTTCAGTCATATAGCCAGGGCAGTTCAGGGGAGTCTGAGCCACCTCTCAAAATGCCATGTGTACCGAGATGGTACACTTGTAAATCACTATCTGATGGGATTTCAAAATATATCTGAAACAAACTAAATCTGATGCCCCTGGCAGCTGAGAGTCTCTGTAGTGGGCTGCTTCAAATGATTAAGAGACTCAGCTAAGGTAGGTGAAAACCAGACACCGTGTGTTACTGGAACCATAGCATCAGGAGCTTCCCAGGGGCTATCAAAGGGAGAGAGGTGGCTGAGAAGGCTGTTGGCCTGCTGAAGGGCTCACGTGCTTCCTGCCAGCTTCTAGCCCTTGGACCTGCCAGCAAGGCAGATGCAGGACTTTGCTTCCTCTCAGCATGTGTTTCCGTTATACCCCACAATGGATGCAGGACAAGCTCCCACCTCCCACTGGGGAATCAGACAGGGTGGGTAAGTCAGTGAAACGAGGGACAGTTCTGGGCACAGGGAAAGGGCTTCCTTATGCTGTGTAGTCCTTAGCTTGAAAGTGATTTTCTGGGGTTCCAGATTCTAATTTTGAATTCATGCAGGAGCCAGAGAGTCAGGCCTGTGTGTGATTTAGAAACTGACAGTTCCTGTAGCCACATCTCCAGCTTGCAGTGTGGCTCACGTGGAAGGCGATGCAGGAGGTTCCTGCTGCATGGTAAGGCATCCAGTACATACAGGCCTCGCCCTCCATACCACAAGACTAACCTAAGCAACTTTACCTCACCCTATATGTGCCTCTGCTTGCCCAGTTGGATGTTTTCAGTCTCCTACATTTCTGCTCATTAAAACAGAATTTAGGTTGGCAAACAGAAGCAGCATGGAAAAGCCTCCTACAAGTGTTTGGTCACATGGTACTGGCTTGGCAACCCTGGTGGCATTCCCCACCCCGCCCCCCGCCCCCCCCAACTGTCACACAGCCCACAGTCAAACTGTCCTGTGATCTGATTGCCTTGATTACCAAGCACAAATGCTTAGGACTGGGGATGGTGTCTTGGTACCTGCTGGAACCAGGAATAAGTACTGCTTAGTACACAGAAGGCAAGGTGCAGGCTTCCTGGGTAATGAAAGCACTGTAGTACAGTGTGCAGAGGGCTGGACGGAATCTCCAGGGGCATCTCTGTGTTCATATGCTCACTGCATTCTTTTTTATAGCAAGATAAAAGGAAGGAATGCTGTTGCCAAGCTAGGGAACTGTTAGTTAGCACTCTGACTCTTCCCACCCGATCATCACAGATACTCGGTTTATTCTCTTCTCATTCCATTATCGGAACTTTCTTACACTATTGATTCAACATTCAAACGACCATCTTACACCAAGGAAAGTTGTTTTATGCATTTTGGTTGGTTGGTTGTGTCTTTGTTTTTCAAGTGGGATCTAGCAATATTGTCCAGGCTGACCTTGACTGTTCTTCAGCCTCAGCCTCCTGAGAAGTTGTGACTAAGAGGCGCAGTATGTCTAGCCTAGAGGAATGTCTTTTAAATAAGGATGAATTCTGCAGTAAAAGTCAATAGCTACTATTATGTAGAAAGCATTTATTATGGGCTGCCAACAGGCTCTATATATTTAGGTTTCCTCTCCTAATCCTCGCCAGCTAGTGAAGGCATATGATTCCTAGTATAGGTGACACTACTGGGCATAGAGACGATAAGAGTTGTCCCCACATTGCACAGCTAATCAGTGGATTAGATTCCATTATGACCTCCCAGTTATCTGTTCAATCCATCGTCTTCTGGATTCTGGGGAAGAGTCTAGGAGAATATTGGACAAGGGGTAGATCTGAAGGCAGGGGACTAGAGGGGGACACTGTGGCAGAAGTCCAGGCTCCAGAAAATGGCTGTGAACTACAGGAAGCAATAGAGGAACAGAAGCATGACTGAACATCTGCCAGCCTGAAGCCAGCCTTTTGGCAGCTTTCCCCAGCTAATACCTGCCATCAACTCCCACACTGGAGCACACGGTGAGATTTCCAGGGCCTTCTGCTTTTGTGTTGAGAATGATCTACCAGCCAGAGGCAGGAACAGACCCTGTTTCCAGCACACTTTGTCAAGTCCTTTCCATTACAAAACACCTTTCTCACCACCTCCTTTCTTCTGTTCCATTGCCTATGCTCATCCCACATGCTATTCCAGACTTCCAGGCTGGTCTCAGATGGACTCAGAACTCCCCAGCCCAATCTTCCTATCTGATTGTTGCCTGGGCCCTGGTTTCACCAAGTGAAGTCTGTTGTGGAATCATTCCACCGAACATAAACTAGGCATTACATTTCTCAGACATAGCAAGAAAGGAAGGCCAAACCAAGGATTCCTTTAAAAAGGGGTTGTGGGGCTGGATCTGAGGTTGTTGCCAAAATTTCTTGCCTGGAGAGACATAAACGTCTACCCACTCCTCTTAAGGTCCCAACGACAAACTGAGGTATGATTCCACCAATGGGGAGTCAATGAGTTTATTAGGCTTCCTTATAGAGCAATGGGTAAAGGGTTTATGAGCAGGAGTGTGGGTGACCTTAAAGCAGACACAATGGAAGATCTGTACTGTGGATGATGAGTCCCCCAAGACTGCATAGATGGAGTTCCTAGTCTTCCCTGGCCTATATTCTAGTTCCTCCTCCAGGCTAGGTGCTATTAGGGCAGAATTGCAAACAGCTGGTTGAGAGGAGCATCTGGATACTCAGGTGAGGGCTCCATGACCCTCCCTGCTCCTCCTTCTGTGAGGGGAGGTCAACAGGCAACAAGCCCAGCTGTGATGATCTTTTTCAACCAGGCATGGCTGAACTAAAGATGGTGCCTGTCTGGTTCAGAGGTCGCTGAAGGCTGTTTTCCAAAACAATGCCCACCTCCCCCTACCATCCGAAATGATAAGTGGAGAGTGAAAAAGGAAACCACTTCCACTTCATTAGAACATGCAACTCCTTCCCCAAATATTAGATTAGCCCTTATATACCTTCCTCCAATCCAAAGGATGGAAACCTGAGTCCTTTACAAGAACAGCCAACACTTGACATGGAAGATTAAAATCAGAAGTCAAAGTCTCCAGCCCGGTCAGGAAGTCCTTGCTGTCTTTTGCTATAACAATTATCTTCCTTGTCTTTTTGGTAAAATATCTGACCCAGGCCCAGAGAATCAAGGGAAGTGAACATTTTTCTAGTCTGATATGCCAGGCAGAGAACCTCTTTGTGTGTGTGTGTGTGTGTGTGTGTGTGTGTGTGTGTGTTTGAGACATGGTACTGCTATGTTGCCTAAGCTGGGCATGAACTCCCAGACTTACGTGATCCTCCTGCTTCAGCCTCCCAGGTAGCTAGGACTTCAGGTATGCATCAACACACCCAGCTAGGGAAAATGTTCTAAGGGCTGCCTAGGAAAAGTCATGTTCTCCCTAAAATGAGTTAACAGATTTTTCAGAACCCAACAGTCTGACAGCCAAAAGTTAGCACTAAGCGATGAACTACGCATCACTATGGATTCCCTGGAAGACTGGGCATAAGTCACAGGGTCTCCCATGCTCTCTGCACCTGCTACAACTTGGTACGACAGATCTTCATGGTCATTTGGCTGCTGTTTAAACCTGCTTTACATTGTTTAGGACCCACATACTCTAGTGAAGAGTTAAGAGGCTCTGGGGAGCTTAGAGGTGGGGACAGCACACACAGGATATTATGTCAGGAAACTAGATTCCAGTCCAGCTCTGCTTCTAGTAGGAGGGAGACTTTGCAAGCCATAACCCTCCCCACATCTGTTCTTCCATCAGTAGAATCAGGAGAATTGCCATTGCACCAGTGAGGCAATGTAAGAAAAACTTTGTTGAGTGGTAGAAGATCATTTTCCAAATGATGTTAAAAGAGCCTTACACTGAACTCACCAATTTCATCTAAAAGCACTGGGCCTGCAGGATTCATGTTATCATATTCACTTGTACAGATGAGGAAACAGTCCTGGAGAAGGTGGAGCCCAAGGCCATAGAGTTAGCAAACTCCGAATGTTTGGAGTCCAGCCCAGAGCTTCTCAGCTATGACAATACCCAAGTTTAACAGAAAGAGCACGAATCAGCTACCAAGAGACCTGAGCTTTTTGGCAAATTCCTTCACTTCAGCCGCTCAGCTTCCTTCTCTCCATAAAGGATGTGGCCCCACCTACTTCTTTGCTTGGGAAGATTGCCAGGGTACTATGGAAGCCCAGTG